TTTTCTTTGTTTTCTTTTTGTTTGTTCTTTGCTTTTCTCTTTGTTTAGTATGAAACCCAAGCTTTGGGTAAAGTTAGTAGTAAGACATTATTCCTTTTGCATTCTAAAAGCGAACATCCAATACAAAATATATCATCGTTTATCACAGATATCGTTTCATTAATTATAAGAAATTCTATTACTGGCTTCATTAATTTAGTAAAAACATAAGGTGCTGTGCACAAACCGAACGGTAGGCAATTGAATTCAAAAAGCGCATCATTATATTTAAAGCGAAGGTATTTTTTATGAGATTTATGTATAGAAAATAGGAGTCTTTTAAATCTATGTAAGCCATATAACAGTTTTTTTTTATAGAAGAGGGGACAAACGAGCTTGCGGCTCACCTGATGTTAAGTGACTACCGCCGCCCATGATCAACCGCAACACCAGGGGGAGTTGCAGGTGCGTTTCCGGCCCTTTAGAAAGGAGTAAGTCCTTTTCTTGAAGGTCCCCAGGTCGTATCGGGCCGGAAAAATCGCTGGTGGTAAACTATTCTACAGAGAGGTTGTACGCGGAAGAAAACTCCTCTTGAAACGTACAGTGGTGGACCGCCAAGCATCCAGATGGTGTGGATGGTATCGGGACGATTGCCGGGTAGTGCGTTCACGAAATTTGGCTGCTGGGATTAATCCGAACAATTCCTCAGAACACTCTCCATGGTATATGCGAAAGAAAATGCAAAGAGATGCAACATCTCTTCGCAGTGCCAGTGAATCGAGCCGATCGGAAAGCACTCGGTCGTCGACGATTCGAGCCGCTCTGCGCTGGATGCGGTCAAGTGGAAGGAGGTGGTACTGGGGAGCCCCAGCCCAGAGATGGGAACAGTATCCCATGTGCGGCCGAACCTGCGCCTTGTAAAGTTGCAGGCGGTGTGCCGGCATGAAATACTGTCCCGCTCTGCTGAGCACGCCAAGCTTTTTAGAGGCTAATTTGGCCTTCTCTTCCAAGTGACCACGAAACTGCACGTCACTCGATATGTCGACGCCGAGGATTCCGATACTGGCTGAGGTAACAAGGGGAGTGCCTTGAAACTGAGGAGACACGATAAAGGGGTTCTTTTTCAGTTTTTGGTCATCAATTCTGATGCTGTTCAGTAATCCTCCATTTAAAATGTCACGTTTCTACGAACTTATTTAAGCATTTAAGATTCAATATAAATCTATTTTCTTCGTTCGGTTTTGGCACTAAAAATACACTGGATATGAATTCGCTTTCTTTATGTGTGCATTGGTATATTGCACCAATATCTAGAGGGGTTTTAATTGACTTCTTAAAATTATGCGCTTCGTGGGATGTTTTTGGGGTAAACATAAGGATCACTAGTACGATATAGCGTACATTTGAATGGTATTTGGTAACCTTTCACTCAAGATGGAATAGTTTTGTCTGTAGTTATTTCAGCCCATTTATGGGCAAAATACTGAAGTTGTCCCGAAAATGGTACCTCGTCTACGTCCGGCGAGACATCGTCCGCTTGATTGTCGGCGAGCGGCGCGAAGTACTGGCTGACTGCTGCGGTGCGTCCCGCGGGTGCGGCGTTGACCGCTGCCCTCGCCTTGTATTGGAAATTTGCGGCTGCAATGCGACATTTCTGTGGGTACTTAAGAATAGGACGAATATATTATTATACACGACAAACTTCGTTTTGAGAAACATATAATGGATATTGCACGTAACTGCTTTTATAGGTTGAAATTACTTTACCGAATTCGCGAGTACCTAAGTGTCACCTTACGTATACACCTCTGCGAGTCTATCGTGCTTTCAAAATTCAATTACGCGGATTCTCTCATAGGCCCACGACTATTATCTCGAACACAGCAAATAATACAGTGGGTACAGAATGCCTGTGCACGCTTTTGTTTCAATGTACCACCACGTGCACATGTAACCCCTTTCATTAATAACGCTAATATTTTAAAAATGGACTGTCGCAGGCGACTACACTTTGCCTCACTTTTGTTTGGAGTTATTAAAAATAAAGAACCTTTATATTTATATAATAAGTTGATTTGGTCTAAAGATCAAAATAAGCAGTATAATACCAGATCATCCAATTACAAGTTAGTATATCCTTTCTACCGGTCGGCGGCATTCAGAGGTAGTTTTAAATATAATGCCACTAAATGTTGGAATAACCTCCCGCCTCCACTGGGTGACCTGAAAACAATTAGTGGGTTTAAAATCAAATACAGGTTACACTTACTTTCGGAACAAAAAAATTCCGATCTATAAAATAAACTGGTAGGAGGTTAAGTTCTTTCAACACGTCAGTAATCTCAGTCCCATAAATTATATAGATATTTTTAATTTTCACTTTATATAATATATAAAACTATTTTATTTAAATATTTATATAATAAATTTACTTTTTTCTGACAATCATTTTCTTACCTTTATTCTTTAGCCACCGTTTATTCCGCATTCTTAATAAATAAAATTGATATATTTAGAAGGAAAACGTTAATTCTATTTTGTACTTACCTTCATTAGACTAATGATATCCACTATTTATGTGAATTAAAATTTAAAAACAAATTTTTTTATATATTCCGCGTCGCATTATAGCATGTGCATTGAGGCAGCCGTCCGAGTTACGTCGTAGTGCGGGCCGGACTGAAAACCAGTGTCGGGATCAGAGCAATTCGTGTTTCTGTATCTCGATTTTTACTGAGTCCTGTCCATTTCACGGTCTTATGCTGCTACACAGACTCATTTTATATTATTTTTATACATTTTTGTTAATTTATGAAAATATTGTTTTATTTTCTGTTTAATTCCAATTTCTTGCTTTGTTTTGTATCTATTATGATTAGACCGTGAATAAATGTTTTTTTCTTTCTTTCTTTCTTTCTACGTTATCTGAAAATTATTATTGTTTCTTTTTATTTGTCACAATAACTATGCTTGTTTTGTACTAATAACATACCCACGTAACTAATAAGCGGATTATTTTTTCAGATGGTCAATTATTTTGGGCATTAACATCACAAACTTTTAAATGTCATACTGGTATTACAGTGGTTCTCAGTACGACAACTAACTTATAATTTATGTCACATAAATATAGCCTTATGCGATGACGAATATTTATAACACCTCGAAGAATCAGACATGGATCTCTCCGATGCTGATGAAAATGAATTTTACACCAGGACCTAAAGAAAATGAAAATTCCAGTACTTCATCTTCCAGCTCTCCAGATGAGTAAATAGTTGAGGGAGACCGGGGGCGGGGAACTACAGATACCCAGGAACATTCTCATCAAACAGCAGTTACAGTTATAACGTCTGTCTCCGACTCATGGAATGGTCAGTTTGAACCTTTAGAATTCCCGTTTTACTAACCCGGTTACTTAAAAGTTGAGACTGAGTCATGGAAACATGAAGATTATTTTACACAATATTCGATGATGATATACTAGAAGAAGTGACAACTACTACGAATAGAACCAGACTACTAAGAAAAGGCTACACCTTGGTCTAACAGTCAAAGAACTGAGTCTTTTTCGGTATTTGGATGGTTAGTTCTTCTACCTAATTACCAAATATAGCATTATTATGGTCTAAGAAATACGGGATTTATGTTATGATAAAGGCTACGATACAATATAAATATATTAATAAAAGAAATATTCTAAAAGTAGTTACTGACTAATTACATACTGAGGTATCAAACGAAGAAAAACTAAAAACTAAGATATTGAAGGCAAATCCACTTTTTCAGTCTGTCTTGTGAGGGTGTCACGCATCAGAAAAACTTATTGAATTAAGCATTGATGAGATGATAGTGCCAGATTAAATTATACTTTTGACAATAAGGCCTTAACCTATAAACTACTTTTCACGAATCGTTTAAGTATATCGTCATGAATTAAATTACAGAGCAATAAGGATAATACAGAATTGTAAAAGTTAATAATGCCATATTTGGAACATTTATCAGAAACAATGGAAAGAAAATTAATTATTACTGGAGCAGAAACTACAGAGTAATCATAAACCATGTATTTTACAATATTTTATCCAATTTTTAATACATCCATCATATTGCTTATATAGAGAATCAGATAAATAAGACAATAATATAATTTCTACTGATCTGGAGGACAAACATTTCTTAAATAAAGTTTTCCTGAAAGCCTCGCGGTTACTAAGCTCAAAGTGCGGTGAAGGCTGCGAGGAGTTATGAAAGGAGACAATAACAAGTCTTTATTTGGTTTTAAATATATTGGCATAGAACAAATTAGTTTTTGGAATACTGGGAACCAAGGTTGCGTTTTTTTTTTAATTGGGTTGGCAATTTTTTAATTGGTTTTTTTTTTTAATTAAATTAGGCTAATATGGTATTAATAGAATGCCTTCAACTCTTTAATTAATAAGTTTTTGTATGACCTTTATTATTAGTGAAAAGTGTGGAAATGCGTAGAATAACATATTTTTCCAAGGAACGGTAAAAGAGTCAGTGACCTAGGCATCAGGCTAATTTTTCCAAGCTATATATTTGTGGCTTTTAGCATTGCGTCTGCTAGCAAAAAGATATCTTGGTAACCGTAGCAAAGAGTTAATTTATTAAATGCCTTAGCATTAAGTTCCCGTTCAGTGTTCAAAATTTTTAGTTGTCAGTTGTCTTTAGAATTTCTATGAGAAGAAAATATAGTTATTGCATGTATTTCACACCATTTTTATATTTGTCTAAAAATCCTCGAATGTCGTCCACTTGATTGTCGGCGGGCGGCGCGAAATGCTGGCTGCCTGCTGCGGTGCGCCCCGCGGGCGCGGCGTTGACCACTGCCCTCGCCTTGTGTTGTAAATTTGCGGCTGCAATTTATTGTCTACATTGCGATGCTGGTTTAGGTAGTTTAAGTGGCCAGTGTTGCTGGTTGTACTGAAAGTAGAGCGGTAAGTATAATAGACGAAATTATGAAACCTCTACGTGTTCTTGATTCCATAAAATGACTATCGCAAAGAATGCGACAGGCGCCGCTTAATTTTGTAAAGTTTGTTGCCGGTTTGGTCCGAAATGATCATATTGGCAATAGCACCTAAGGCTGCAATGGCGACGCCCAGCTGCTTTTGTATGAACAAAAGTGAAGAGTCTCGTTTTATAGAGGTCTCTGACAGCTGCTTTAACCCCGAGTTTAGAGCTGGTGCAATTAGGTGGTCACATTTGGAGGGTATAAGACAATTTTTCAAAAGACTTTCTTTCACGCCTTTTGAAAGTATGTCTTGCCACCGATTGGCTGTATCCTTATGGATTGCTGGACCCATTGGTGTCTCGGTCTTAGGTCCATCACTAAGCAAAACCAGTATGTCTTCGTCGAGTTGCACCTCTAACATCATCTGCTGTGAAGGTTCACTGGCAGCTGACGTTCCAGGTGTTGGAGAAATCGGTCTGTCGTCAACCTGCGGTTGCGGCGACTGTGGTGCCAATCTAGGCACCGACGATTTTGGAAACGTTGGCGGTAGAGAACCAGTTTCAGGAGAACCATTTCCTGACAAGATGGGATATGTAAGTGAACCCCCCCATCAACCAGAAAAGGAGACTCCACGCATGACGCTGGTGACAAAGCGTGGCACGTGCTCAGCTGGTGCAGAGATGAATCTGCAGCAAACAGTTCTTTTTAGAATGTTTGTAATAAAAATGTGGCAGTATCAGCCCAAAATTAGCAGTACGCATCACTTCTTTCGTGACGGAGGTAACCCAAATACGGTATCTCGCATAACAACTTCATAATTTTTATTAAGTTTAAAAATGATAGTAATAGCAAAAATTTAGCAGTACGCATCCATGTATTGAATGTAAATTATAAAACTTACCGCTTACTTCCTCCATAAACAAAGATTTTCCCGTATTGGTTACTTTGTTTAACCGCTATTCCAGTTTTAAAAAAAATTCTTGATTTCGTCTGCATTTTTTTCTGTGTTCTGTTCTGTGCGACATTTCTGTGGGTACTTAAGAATAGGACCAATATAATATTATACACATCTTTTTGTAGAAACATATATAAGTTATTATAATTTGGTAGTGGCGGTTGAGAATATCCACTACCCCACATCTTCACGTGGGTGTCGTAGGAGGCGACAGAGGGAGACAGGTAGGAGATGGGCAGCAGCATTTTCCTGATAACAGCAATGATGTAATAAAAAACTGCGGTTGCCTACCCGCTTGCCAAGCGTGGCAACTATGGCAAATATCCCCCCCATGAGTAACGACGCAAACAAACGGCCCCCAGTCCCCGGCGGCCCCGCTATTCCTGGCTACGGTGCCGACCATGGTAACGGTGGGGCAGGAGGTGCTAAGAATCTCCGATGGAGGTTCGGTTTCCACCTCCGACGAATCGACCTGGCAACATATAACGCATGCACCCTGAGGAATGACGAGAAGATACTGGAGTTGGAAGAAGAGGTAGACAAGTTGCGCTGGCATATTATTGGGTTATCCGAGGTCCGAAGAGAGGGGAGGATACGGTAATCCTCGAGTCCGGCAACTTGTTCTATCACCGGGAGGGCAACCATTTGTCACAAGGAGGTGTCGGATATATCGTCCACAAGTCTCTCGTCAACAACGTTGTAAAGATTGGGAATGTGTCGACGAGGGTCGCGTACCTGATACTCAGAATGACTAAACGGTATTCGCTGAAGGTCATACAGGTTTACGCACCAACCTCGGCACATCCCGATGAGGAGGTGGAGGAAATCTATGAGGATATTTCCAGAGCCATGCATTCCTCCAAAACCCACTACACGGTGTTGATGGGAGACTTCAACGCAAAACTAGGCACAAGAGAAGGCGGTGAGCTGAAAGTAGGTAAATTTGGAGTAGGGCAACGGAACCGTAGGGGCCAGCAGCTGGCCGACTTTATGGAGAAGGAGGGACACTTTATGATGAACTCTTTCTTCCAGAAGCGGCCCCACACGAAATGAACCTGGTCGAGCCCCGACGGTTCGACAAAAAATGAGATTGACTTCATTATGACGACCAGACGCCAACTGTTCAGTGATGTCTCGGTGATCGCAAGGGTGAAAACTGGCAGCGATCACCGAATGGTTAGAGGCACACTGAACCTAAACGTTAAGTTGGAGAGGTCTCGTCTAATGAAGTCAACGCTCCGTCCCCCTTGTGCTCTAATCCAGAATCCCGAAACCTTTCAGCTCGAGTTACGTAACCGCTTTCAGTGCCTAGAAGATTGCAATGCAGTGGACGATATGAATGACAAGCTCGTGGAAACTGTCCATGCGGTCGGAGCTAAGTTCTGCAAGATCGGCCGCAGAAGAACACAAAAGCTCTCCGATCACACTCTTAATCTCATGGCTGTTAGACGGGAGATGAGGCTGCAATCGTCAACAGATTTGACAGCATACAGGCAACTGAACAGACAGATCTCCAAATGCATGCGGCGAGACTTACGCAACTTTAATACTTCTCGTATTAAAGAAGCGATCGAGCGAAACCAGGGCTCCAAAGTCTTTGCCAGAGATCTGTCTGCCAGTAAGAGCCAACTGTCAAAGCTGAAGACTGAGTGTGGCAGCATCGTTTCCGGGACACCTGAAATTCTGAGTGAGATTGAGAGGTTCTATGGGCACCTGTACACATCATCGTTGGAGCCACACGCAAGTGTGAGTAACGATCCAGGAGCGAGTCTTATCCGACTATTCCGATGATATCCCGGACGTCAGTCTGAGTGAGATTAGAATGGCTTTCCAGCACCTTAAAAACGGCAAGTCCCCGGGCGAGGATGGAATTACAGCGGAGCTACTGAAAGCGGGTGGTAATCCGGTACTTGAAGTCCTTCAGAGGCTCTTTAATTCCGTCCCCCATGGTGGCACTACTCCAGAGGCGTGGAGCAGAAGTGCGGTGGTCTTGTTCTTCAAAAAAGGTGACAACGCCCTCTTGAAGAACTACAGACCGATATTCTTTCTGAGCCGCGTCTACGTGCTGTTTTCGAGAGTCATTACGAATCGTCTCGTACGCAGACTCGACAACTTCCAGCCTCCCGAACAAGCCGGTTTCCGAAAAGGCTTTAGTACCATAGACCACATACATAACCTTCGGCGAATTGTGCAGAAGTCCGAAGAGTACAATCTGCCACTTTGCCTGGCGTATGTGGACTATGAGAAAGCCTTTGATTCCGTCGAAATTTGGGCGGTGCTACATTCTCTTCAGCGGTGCCAAGTTGACTGTCGGTATATCGAAGTGCTGAAGTGTTTGTACAGTAGGGCTACGATGGTTATCCGAGTACAGAACCAGAGTACGAAACCTATCCAACTGCAGAGAGGTGTAAGACAGGGCGACGTTATTTCCCCGAAACTCTTCACCGCTGCGTTGGAAGACGTTTTCAAGCTACTGAACTGGAAAGGATACGGTATTAACATCAATGGCGAGTACATCACTCACCTTCGATTTGCCGACGATATAGTCCTTATGGCAGAATCGCTGGAGGACTTAAGCACTATGCTCAATGATCTCAATAGTGCCTCCCAACGGATAGGTCTTAAGATGAACATGGACAAAACAAAGATCATGTTTAATGTCCATGTCACACCTATGCCGGTAGTTGTTGGGAGCACTAAGCTCGAAGTTGTTGACGAGTAATTTTACCTGGTACAAATAGTCCAGCTAGGTAAGTCCAACTTCGACCGAGAGGTCAATCGACGGATTCAACTCGGCTGGAGAGCGTTCGGGAAATTACAAGGCATCTTCTCGTCAGGTATACCTCAAAACCTGAAAACTAAGTTGTACAACCAGTGCGTGTTGCCAGTGATGATATATGGAACTGAGACGTGGTCCTTCACTGCTGGCCGTATGAGGACGCTCAAAGTCGCTCAGCGAGCTATGAAGAGGGCTATGCTCGGAGTTTCTCTGCGTGATAAACTTAGAAATGAGGATATCCGTATTAGAACCAGAGTGACCGACATAGCCCAACGGATTAGTAAGCTGAAGTGGCAATGGGCCGGCCACATAGCTGGAAGAACCGACAACCGTTGGGGAAAAAATGTTCTCGAGTGGCAGCCTCGTACCGGTAGACGAAGTGTAGGGCGACCCCCCACTAGATGGACTGACGACCTGGTAAGACATGCAGGAAGTCGATGGATGCAGGTGGCTCAGGACCGTGCTTTGTGGTATACCTTGGGATAGGCCTATGTTCAGCAGTGGACTTTTAAAAGGCTGTAATGATGATGAATGATGAATTTGGCAAAATTTTTCATGTTTAAATCTGCTTAATATTCTTTTATTTTATTTTTAGGTTTCCGTATCAAAGTCAAAGTGGTATAAATTCGTCCATTTTTAAATCTCGCATGCCCAGCATTTATGAACGACTTTTATTCTAATTTAAATAAATATATTTGTAATTTAAATATTATGTTAATTAGTTTTGTTAAACGTACACTTAGTATGTTCTTATGTTTGACTTAGACACCTTAATAATATTCAGATAAAAATATTATTGAAATGTAATTGTGATATAATATCATGTAATATTATATTAAATAAGCAAATATAATATACAAAATAAATGACAAAATTTAAATATTGTTCTTGATATAATTTACATATTTAACATTACAATCTACTATTACCTACGGGTCATTCTTGCTATGTTTATTCTATGACAAATAAAAGCAACCGCGCGAATTTTGCGGAAAACCATCATAACAATTATAATAAAGATATTAATTTGCAACCATCCGCTCACTTAACTACAATGATGTGTTATACCTGTATTGCAGAGCACCGCTCCCCTTTCCTCAATTTTTTTCTAAAGAATATTAACAATGCCATAAACATTACTAATATTCCCTTTAACCACTCGTGGTAAGCTAAAATTGCTTGCAAATTGCTTGCGTGGTTCACGCCAGTAGTCGAATGGCGGATTCGAACGCACGACTTTTTTGAGTTCGCGGTCCGCCCTGCCATTAGGCTAATGTCGCTTCAAAATTTGCGTGTGCAATTGCGTGCACTCAAGGTGCGGTGAAGGCTGTGAGGAGTTTTGAAAGGAGACAATAACAAGTCTTTATTTGGTTTTAAATATATTGGCATAGAACAAATTAGTTTTTGGAATACTGGGAACCAAGGTTGCGCAGGCTCATATAGTACTAATAGTGTGCCTTCTACTCTTTCATTAATAAGTTTTTATATGACTTTTGTTATTAGGGAAAAGTGTAGAAATGCAAAGCATAACATATTTTTCCAAGGAACGGTAACAGCGTCAGTTGCCTAGGCATCAGGTTAATTTTTCCAAGCAATATATTTATGGCTTTTAGCATTGCGTCTGCTTGCAAAAAGATAAATCTAGGTAACTTTAGCAAAGAGTTATTTTTTAAATGCCTTAGCAATA